CCCCCCCGCTGGCGCTGTCCCTCTCAGGGAGGTCTGCGCTCCACTGGGCGTGCTCGGTGAACCACCTCTCCCTGGCCAGGACGCTCATCCGCTACGGGGCGGCCGTCGACCTGCAGGACAACAAGGTAGTCCCCCCCCCACACACACATCCAAGTCGGCCATTTTGATTAGGTCATGTGACTAGCAGCATCCTGAGGTGGAAACGAAACTTTACTGTCTATACGAAATCGGAAGAAAAACGATGTCCTGACTCTAACCCTGACCGTTACCCTCAACCTGACCCTGACCCTAAACCTAACTCTGACCCTAACAGTGACCCTAACCATGACCCTAAACCTAAACCTAACCCTAAACCTAACCCTGACCCTAAACCTAACCCTGACCGTTACCCTGAACCTAACCCTAACTCTGACCATAACAGTGAACCTAACCATGACCCTAAACCTAAACCTAAACCCAAACCTAACCCTAACCCTAACCCTAAGCCTAACCCTGAATACATTTTGTTTTTGGTTAAACTTATTGTACAAACCTATTTAACTCCACTATTTTAACATAATATTATGTATAGAATTTAATTCATTCTTTGCAAGAATGAATTATTAAAAATATTTATTTCTCACATCTATGAAGGGTGGAGAGTTAGGGTCAGGGTTAGGGTCAGGTTTAGGCTCAGGTTTAGGGTTAGGGTTAGGTTTAGGGTCATTAATGTGGGCCACTATAACATCAGTAACAGGTCAGTTTGAAATTAAAGACACTAACCTGTCAAAATTCAGTTAAATTTTGGGGTCTTTGTTTTTATCCTTGTGGTATCGAAAACGGTGTAGAGTATTTTCCCGAGTATCGGTATCGAGTTGAAAATGTTAGCATCGTGACAAAAAGAACTAAATCTTGCAACACAAACAGCAAAAGAGCCGATATTTGTAAAGCAACACAAAGCCAAGAGGCCCTCCAATAAAGGAAAAGACTCACATAACAAACTGATCTGCCGTCTAATCCCGGGAAGCCGTGGATTCATGGGAAATGGAATCACGCCGGAGTCTCATCTGAAACGCGCCTCGTTCACATAACCCACACGACCAGAGAAACTAGTCGTCAGATAACCGGAGGAAACTGGGATTCCTTCGGCAGGCCGCTACTTTTAGCACCGTCATGGGAACACTACCGGCGTATAAACATGAGCCCAAAGTCAACATCACTCATTCATACATCCAGCTCCAAAAATATACGGACAAAAGCCTTATTTTAGCATCGTGACAGCCCTGGTTTCCCCCCTCCAGGGCGAGACGGCGCTCTTCCTCTCGGCGCTGCACGGTTGCTATGACGCCGCGCGGCTGCTGCTGCTGCACGGCGCCAGCCCGGCGCGGCGGGACCGGCGCGGGCGCCGCCCGGCCGACGTGGCCCGGGAGGCCCTGCACCACCAGGTCCTGGAGCTGCTATTGGCCCACCAGGTCCAGGGGGGCGTGGCCGGGGGCGTGGCCGCGGACTGGGAGGAGCGGGCGCTCGGCTACCCGCCCTGGGGGGCGGAGCCAGGACTCCCCGGGAGGAGCGCCTCCTTCTCCGGGATCATCAACCCGCCGCCACAGAGGTGGGGGTCCGGGGCCGTCCGCCATCTTTGTTTGACCTCCTCAGGGACAAAGCTTTTATCTCCTTTTTCCATAGATGAACCCACATTTTACTTTGATCTTTTGCTTTGATAACTGTTTTTCAGCCCTCACAAGGAGACAATCCAAAGAAGCCAGTTGTTTTAATGCTGTTTCTCCTCTCAAATATCTGACTTTTAGCTGCATAAGCTGCTCTGATGGCAGTTTTTGGGGGGTTTCTGAGCAACATTTTACCATTCAATTCAATTTTATTTATATAGCGCCACATCACAACAACAGTTGTCTCACAGCGCTTTCCAAACAGAGCAGCTCAGACCCTACTCTGAAGTTAATTACAGAAACCCAACAATTCCCACCATGAGCAAGCGCTAGGCGACACAGGCAAGGAAAAACTTCCTTGGTCATCCGCCATCTTTGTTTGACCTCCTCAGAGCCAAAGCTTTTATCCGGTTTCTTCTCTGTTCCAGATCTCTGAGTTTAAAGTTTGAGAACCAGAATTTGTCCTGGTTAAGGTAGTTTTTCTTCATTTTCATAGGATAAAAATAAAATATGCTTAACTCATTGACTGCCAGCCATTTTCAGAACAGAGTCCCATAGAGTTTTTTGAGCATTTTCACTGATTTTTCAAGAGCCCCGGAATAGTTTGTGCTATGACTATGTAAACACCGAACACACCAAAAGAAAGAGTAGACTCTCTTCTTTCATCAGGAAAAAAAATGTGTTTTTACCTTATTCCGTTCTTCCTCGACTTGCGTCTCACCGCCGCCATTTTTCGCATAGCGAACCGTTCCCTTTTTCTTATTTGCCTACAGTCTATGCTCATCTCCCATCAAAAGTGGCACTGCCCCCTAGAGGGTCAATTTGTTACTACATACTCTGTCTAGAAGCCGATATTTACGGACAAGCTTTAGCAGATCGTCCCCCAGACACTCGTTGAAAAACATAAAAGATGTCTATAGACGTCTTTGGCAGCCAATGAGTTAATAGTATCAATTAGTTTTGGGGTAGAAACTAAAAGTTTTTGTGTTCTTCTGGCTTTGATGTGCTCCTTTTTTCTTAGATGAACCCACATTTTGCTTTGATCTTTTGCTTTGATGAGTTTAAAAACCCGATCTGCTGTCTCTGCAGTGATTGGTCGATGGGCCGGGTGCAGTACCCGCCCCCCCAGAGCTGGCGTCCTCAGCTCGGCCAATCGGCGACGGCGCTGGTCCCCCCGCGCGTGATGGGCCGCTCGCCCCGGCCAATCAGCACGCTGCAGGAGGTGACCTCTGAGGACGAGGACCGTGAGCGCCCCCCGGAGGCGCCGCGCGCCGCCACGCCCCACTTCCTGTCTCCGCAGCCCGCCCCCCGCCAGCGCTCCTTCTCCTGTACCCAGCATGCTTTGCAGCGCCGCTCCGCCGGCCCCCAGCCGGAGCCCAACTACCTGATCGTCACGGACAGGGCGGGGTCAGGCGAGACCTCAGAGCGGGCGCCGGTGGTGGTGTTGGCTCCGCCCCCTCCAGACACCGCCGTTATCCAGAACGAACGCCACCCGCCCGGGAACGCCGTTATCCAGCCCGGGAACGCCGACCCCCCCCAGGCGGCGCCAGGCGGCGAGCAGAAGGCCAGAGGAGAGAGGTTGAACAACGACCGAACAACCGACTCCAGGCAGACAGCGCTGTGAGGGGGCGGGGCTAGTTGGGTTTGGGGGCGGGACTAGACGGGTTTGGGGGCGTGGCTAGACGGGTTTGAGGCGCGGGGCCAGTTGGGTTTGGGGGCGTGGCTAGTTGGTTAGGGGGGCGGGGCCATGTAGGTTGAGGGGTGGGGTCAGTCGGGTTGGGGGGTGGGACTATTGTGGTTTGGGGGCGTGGCCAGGCGGATTGAGGGGCGGGGGCTATCTGGTTTAAGGGCGGGGCCAGTTGGGTTGAGGGGCGGGGTCAGTATTGTTGGGGGCGGGGTCATGTGGGTTGGGTTGTTGGGCCTATCTGGTTGGGGGGGCAGGACCAGTTGGTTAGGGTTTGGGGGCGTGGCCAGCAGGGTTTGAGGGACGTGGCCAGTCGGGTTGGGTTCTTTCTTTCCCCCTTTTTCTCTCCTGGAGGCCAATATGGATGTAAATATTCTCTGCTTAGTCGAATATTAAAACAAAAAGAAGAGATCCAGTTTAAATGAATGCAATAAAGTTAGTTTTCTTACATTTGATGTAGATTTTCTAAACTGTGTGAGCTCAATCCTTTTGGAAATAAACTGTTTTTCATCCCTAACAAGGAGACAAACCTTTGAAACTTCTTTGAATTTGGAAAACCAAAGAAGCCTGTTGTTTTAATGCCGTTTCTCCGCTCAAATATCTGACTTTTAGCTGCATAATCTTCCCTTTTTGGACAGCTTATTTCCCCCTTTTTCTCTCCTGGAGGCCAACATGGGTGTAAATATTGTCTGCTTAGTCGAATATTAAAACAAAAAGAAGAGATCCAGTATAAATGAACGCAATAAAGTTACTTTTCTTACGTTTGATGTAGATTTTCTAAGCTGTGTGAGCTCCATTATTTTGTAAATAAACTGTTATTCGTCCCTAACAAGGAGACAAACCTTTAAAATTCTTTGAAATCCAGAAAACCAAGAGAAGCCTGTTCCTTATCTGAGAGAAGGAGAGCTGGAAGAGGAAATCCTTGTTTTAATTTGTGGATTTTATAATTCAAATAGAATCTTTTCAGGAAGATATATTCCATGTTCTGATCCAAGGACTCACCTGGGAGATGTTTCCTGGATAAAATATCAGAAATATCTGTTATTTAAAGTAG